AAGTGGCGCGGGGGTAACAACGCAGCGCCTAGACCAAGCGTGGCGTAAGTTGTGGCGTCAATTAAGGAGGCGGATTGGCGGTGAAAAGAGTGACGGAATCATTCAAACAGCGTGGCGTCTAACGTGTGTCGGCAGAATTGACTGGGGTTGTATTGGCCTCGAGTCTCGAAGCTCTGATGGAGAAAAGCAACCAAAACGCGTCTCAGAAGAATTGTGTACGATAAACTCGGTGGTGTTTCGTATTTGGGAAGTGTGGATGAGAACGGAGGATTCGGGAGAACGGCGTTTTCGACTCAGCGGAGCAGGGAAACGTAGGTAAGGGTTGTATTGCCCACGGGCCTGGATATTGAGTATTGAAATATATTGACGCTTGAATAGGACGCGTCACAACAATATATAACACGTCAACACCTTATTTCTAATCCAAAAGGTCTATGGAAGATGAGCTGTGACCTCACCCGCGAAACCCGCCGTAGGTAGGTGCACTGCGCGATCAAAAATCTTGAGCTGTTTATGGAAGATCGAATCGAATCGGCAAGAAATGATACTCGGGCCGGTTCTCTTAACTTTGCTCTTGCCATTATGGCCTTCAGCTACGACGGACTCGATCGCCTGTGTTTCTCAAGACTTGGTGCTTCATCTCCATTATCCTCAGTTTCACTCCTCAAATGGACAGAGCGAAAGGAAGATAATTGACCAAGTTTGATCAGGGCGTCTGTCGCCTCATTTCACTCGCTTCTTGAACTTGCTTGTGACATCCTTATGCGGACTTGCGTATCGGTCACTCATTCTTTTAAGTCGAACTTCAGCTTGCCTTCCATTCTTATAACTACTGCTCTTTACTAGCGCCTTCGGGAGGATTTACTGTAGTTCTGGTCGACTAGAGGAGCTTTCCATGCGCCGCCTTCAAATCAAGACACACATCTTCAGATATCAAGGTGAATGTAATTGAATGTTTGAACAGGGAGCAACACTGATATTCAGCATAATTGCCGTATAACTCGATAATTGGTATGAATCGACGAAGAAAATTACAAAGAGAAGCTGAGAAGAGAATGGAATCATAGGAAGCAAAATCTGGCGAAGCAGAAAAGTAAAGATTTGAATGGACGGTAAAATTGTATCGAGATAACGACGTGAACATGTCCGACTAACAGAGATTTTTGACAACAGTTCTACAACATGTATAAGATTTCAACGCCAACTGCCAAACAACGTAAAACCTCACCTGTAGCCCGACGAGTGTGCTCAATTCAAGCAATTGGACCTTGGAAGATTTACTCCCTGAACGGGAAGTCAAAACAGAATCCAAACGCAAAATGGACGAAGGAAAACTTTGGACTTACAAGAGGGAGAGGGTGATGTCGCCGTTGACCTTGGCCTGAATGGCGATCTCGACTTCGAGGTTTAGGTCCAACCTGAGCTTGAGAGCCTCCTTTTGCTTGCCAACACCACCGCGCCCGAGGCTTCGGTTGGTGGCTTGACCGACCTGGTTTTCACCAGCGAAGGCGGTGTTCTCGGCAGTAGCGTATTGGGTAGCGGGAGAAGACATGATACTTGTACAGCTGGTATCTAAGTCAAAAGCTGAGAAAAACTGACTCTTTTATACGCGGGGATAGACCCACCTCAGTTGAAAACGAGGGGGTTGGAGCAGCGTTACTGAAGCGACATCTGGAAACCGGGTGCCTCGTCATTCTTAGGAGTTAGATCAATGCTGCAGGAGCAGGCGTACCAAGCTCGCGGTACGTAAAACTCAGTTTGAAATGGTAGAAACCCCCAAGCAATAATTCAAGTTACCCCATGCGTCACATTCCATTCCGCGATTGAAGACCAAGTAGTAAATATAGAGATTTCGGCTCAACGCAATGTATAGGATGTTTCTGAAGTGGGACTTTGGGCGCGCATTCAAACCGCCCGGCAAAGTCCTTCGAAAAACTACCAAGTTCCCGAGAAAACGGGTTATTTACCTGGGTATCGAAGAAACACTAAGAGAACACGAGGAGTCAGGCTTTCGTCTTTCTCAATAGGCAGGCCGCATCGCCGGGTTGCCATAATCTAATCTAAACACGCGGATAATCGCACGCACATCATAACCCTCATAATTTTGTCTGATCCAGCTATTATTGTGCCATAGTGACCACCTTGCATCAACTTCCGAGGCCTATTTTTTGTCGAGGTACATTAGTATTACACGTGCCATCTCCCTTCTTGGCTTCTTTCCGAATAATATCACATCGTTCATGTGCCTTTATCGCGTTCCTTTAGTCTCTCCTTAGTGTGCCATTGGGGCATCAACTTCAAGTACCCCTTGTCAGATTGACATGCTCATCTGCGTCTCCGCTTGCGGTTTCAAAGGAGCCCACGCCGTTTTCGGCACCGTGACAGAAATACGGGAATAGTATGTGGAATATTTATCCAGATGGAGATGTAACGGGGACAGACTTCTTGGAGCGCAAATCGAATCGAGATTACCGTGAGAGATAGTAGAGGTACAAGAAATGATAGGTCGTTAGTGCGTAGATGCAGTCTATAGTGGGGAACAAGGCCAGACACTGATTCCGCGGTTCCTTTCGTCTTCGGCCCGATCCGCATCGACGATCAGTCGATCGGAGTTGCCGATGGTGCGCTGCCACGGCACAATTTGAATCATTCCTTCTCACCATCATCGCTTTCTCCAAAGCTCCTGCCAGTCTCTCACCGGGGAGTATCGGTAGCTGCGTAAGCGACTCTATGCAGCACCGCCGCTCTCGCGGCCAAGATTTTCTGGTTGACAGGGCAGCAACTCGTGACAATACTCCGGGCTACCGCTTTGACACGATTGGCTCCAAACCCTCTCTGACGGCTCATTTCTCGAGGTGACAGCTCTGTCTAGACCTGCTTTACTTCACTTTCTCCTGGGTCCCACATTCCTGTTCTTTCATCGGTGGCATCGTATCAAGTGTATTCCTTGCGTAAGGCAGTACTGCACGATGTTGAACCAAATGCCAAGTAGACTCCATCTATCTACGGAGAGCTCTAGCCCTCAAAACATCTCACAGATGACGCTTTTCGACTATCTTAGATCCCCGTCGTCTTTGCTACCTTTCGGAGAGCATGTCAAGTCTTTCCCCGTTCCCTTTGACAACGATGACATGTCGCAACCGGTCTTCGCGAAGTACCACAACTTGTTCCAGACCAGACTTCAACGCCGTATGTAAATATGTTATGTATATTGCGAAGCCGTCCTAGCTTTTCTATGGAGAATAATGATGCTATTCACAGCTGGATCGACTCTTCGCGGCTATCTTCGAGTTACAAAACCGTAATTATCTATCCAAACTGCGGCTTAGATACCAATATCAGCTCCCGCTTATTTTAGGATTCTAACGAACGAGAGCGGCTATCGAAAAACCGAATGAAGGTACCTTGAACTTTGAATACGACCATGCCACCAGCGGTGCGTATAACAGATGAATATCAGACATTCTCCCGCAAGCGTATCTTTAGAATGAAACAGCGTGACTTCAGGAGGACTGTCCCAGTGGGGTGGTAACGATACTGGTATCAGAATGCGTCGACGAATCTGCTTCTGACCGGAACCAGGTCAATGAATAATCGTCATGTTTAATATTTGGTGCGCAGAATGGTCGTGAGCTAAAAGCATGTCAAAGAATTTTAGATTGTAACACTCTGAGAAACGTACAGGCGTGTTCGCCGTAATATTGGATCGTAAAGATATGCTTGAATACGTACTCTCCGATTTTACTTATCCACGCACCGATGAGGTCGGTGAAATAGAAACGTCAATGAGCTAAGGAGCTTATGGGACGTGAAGAAGTGGATCTAAGAAGCTATTATGGGCCCGCAGCAACGTTAGTAAGTGATATCGGCCATCCTAGACCACAATTATTTCCAGCGGTAAAGTTGAGGGACATGAGGTGATGCCGCTTTATAAGCACCTATAACACATCTAAACATGCATATCATGATCATTGCAATATCTAGGGGACATAGCCGGATGACCGTATCGTAATGGAGGCAGATATCGTTATTCTGAGTCAACAAACAACGCTGGTAGAAGAGGAACAGAGACCGCAGACCGGCGAATGTGCCGTTAACACGGAAGGATGGCCCTACAAGGACCCATATAGGAAACTGCGATCCTGCTGATCGACATCGATTGCCCTTAGACAGTGAGTCACGACGATCCGCGCGCCTGCAGGGCCTCCACCGCCACTCATCTTCTCCATCCCGTTGCATGAAACAATCACGCCCCGTCTGTCGCGAAATTTACATCTCCGGAGGACTTGAAATGATACAAACAGAATTAATCTAAGTGAACACGACAAGCAGTCCGTTTACCCACCGATGATTTAGTCGCTATACAAAAAGGGAGCTATCTTCGATAACATTAACTTGTCTGAACCTGATCTTTACGCCACTATCCTTGGTGCGCTGAATTTCCCCTCTCAAGACAGATATGATCAGGGAAGGGAGTAGAGAAGAGGCGCTAACTTGGCTTAGTAAAGATGTTAACCTCGAAGTTCAGTAGTTCATCAGTGAGTGTATTTTGTGAGTGCTGTCACAATCAAGGGTTTTATGCTTCGTATGAGGCTTTGTTTTTGTTTGTGTGCTGGAACCAAAAGGGAGAGGAGTTTGACCGTCAACCTTAATTATAGAAGTAAGAACGGATGATGTACAGGAAACCTGTAGATGGCAAATGCCACTAAGATTGCACGATTGCTTTGTATATTGGAAGTAGCACGGTTCCGGCCTACGAAGCCAAGCACTTAGTAGAAACTGTAGTGAAGAAAGAAATTGGCTCAGTGTAACAGATAACAAAATCTCTGCGTTGAATCAGCAGTAAACCCTGCTCGCCCTCCCGCACTGCCCCGAAGCCTGGCCTTCTATTCTACGAAAGTTAGTTTTGCTTTGCCTCTTGAACGACGAGCGGACGTTGTACAGTTGTTAACCGTGATTCGTGACTGCTTGCCTTGCGAAGACAACAAAAAATAATAACTAGCCCACCGCGAGGGTCGAACTCGCAGCCTTCAGATCAGCTAACCGCCTAGTGATTAAGAGTCTGACGCTCTATCCGATTGAGCTAGGCGGGCTATACGTGGACTCTTTCAACAGAGCATCAGATAAGAAGGGCAATCATAGAATAACCGGTCCAGGTCGAATGTACATCAGTCAACAATGGATGCCGATGAGTAGCCCTGTTAGGTAGGAAGACAGTATTGAAGCACAGGAAAAGACGGGAATAGAGGAAGAAGTCTACGCTGGAGTCATTGAACGATGCAGGACGATGGGCGACATAGGGTCAAATATTGACGGGCAACGTCGGGCCTACATCTCTTGAAAGAATCAAGTCATCTACCGCGGGTGAGAATGATAGGTATCAGATACTCGCAATGGCAATGAGGAGAAGCGAGGGATTATCAACGCGTCGCTCCCTCGACATCCGACCGTTTGGAGTATTCGTCCCAATACCTTGGTGGTAGGACACAAGCAGAGAGACGAAGCTAACCCCAGGTGCTAGGTAATGTTCGCATTTCGTTCTTTACCAGAGGTCAGATACCCCATCTGTACGATCATGTTAGAACACATAGGTAGTACAAGTCGAAGAAGACGTACAAGATTACGATGTGTATCACCATGAAAGCCTGGCGGAAGAAACCTGATATGCCTTCACTATGCCAGTACGCGTCGTTCATCGTGGTCGTGGTCCAAGGAAGAGAGCCTTCGGAGATTTCCGAAAAGTTAAAACGTAGGTTTCCGGTGCTCCACCACCATCTGCGCGTGCGTCTTGACATGCGGGCACTCTAATTTTCGATAAGTCTCATGCACCATAATACTGCGGCTTCATTGGAGAAAAAATGACTAGACCTCATTCAATCTCATCTCGCGTTCTTTTCTCGCCAGCGTATCGCCAACAATAGCAAGGTCATAATCCGGTACTACCTGGACTTAGAGACCCGCCTTCCGGAATCTTGATCTTAGCTGGGGGTCATCGCTTCTTCGGGTTGAATGTCTGACATGACGATTCTTTGACTGCATGTGGCATTGCAGTAGCGAAACATTGGTCGGAAACACAAAGTGGGCTGGTTGGCCACGCCTTACAGGGAGATTCTTGTAACGCAATACCACCTCTGCAGTAAAAAGTAAGTCTTTGCAACTCATTCCTCTCTAATGAGAATAAAGAAAAGGCAGCGTCGGCGCAGTGCAAGCGTTACTACTACCTGTCATCTCTCTCCACGACTTTGAACATCACGAGAGGACTAGGAGCTCCATACCAAACATTGTTGTTATTGCCCTCATCGATTTCTACGGCTACTCTCTTACTTATGAATGTTCTCGTCTTAGAAACAACCGAAAACGTTCGATGTCTTGTGGGCGCTTATAGGTCCATAGGTTCCGGTCCGCGGAACCAGTTGCCATCGACTGAATCACGCGAAAACCTAGACTCGGTTTCATGTTCTCGTTATATTACGCTCGCGTTCTAGTCCATACCCATGGGAACGTCGAATGGGCGTGTTCGATACCACCCATAATCAGACCTCCCATGACCTGCGTGTAACTGAAGCAATACAAAAGAGCACAATGTGTCGATCGCGTCATTTAGTTCTCCCGGGACCTCGCTGTAAACCTAGATGGAAGGTCCCCAGGGTGATATTAGCACGTTGGCTTATTCGCTTGATCTCAAACTGGCTTGGGAGGGGCTTGTCTATACATGTTCATATTCATTCGGTGTACCTTCGTGTAAACCTGAGCTTGCGACCCATCGGCTAGACTCACGCTCTGTCAAATGTTCCATGCAAGTACCCCACCGGTCTCAAAGCCCCAGCAGACCTTACGTCCCGGGTACAGACACGTTCATTCGTTGCATTTCCGAAATGCCCATGAAATCCCGCAACTGCATCCCTCCATACTGTGGCATGACGTTGCTCCTACCCTCAATCCTCGTATAAAAGGACTGTCGCACCTTTCTCAGCTCCCATTCACGATTGTAATGTCTGCCGCTCAAACTCGTATGTCTGTTCTCGGTGCCTCTGCTGAGGCCGAAGCTAGGGATGGTCAGTTGACCGCCCGTGTCGGCGCTGGAGCTGTTGCGCCCAAGGCGGCGTTGAAGCTTAGGTTGGACCTTAACTTGGAGGTCGAGATCGCCATCCAGGCTAAGGTCAATGGTGACATCACCCTCTCGCTCCTGTAAGTGGACTATTCATGTTTGTACTGAGCTTCGCCGCTAAATTATGATTATAGTGAGTAAATGCATTCGGTACGAGCAAAAGCAGAACAGGTTCCTTGGATTATCAGGTTTGGAGGTCTTCGATTGATGCAAGTTTCTTGGGTTGATGTGTTTTCATTGCTAGTGCTTTGATTTTGGATTTTGGATGGATTTCAGTTGATTGATGAAGGGTGGATCGCACGCATGTCTGGGAGAATGCTTCATGTGTACCGTTGTAACTTGTATATTAGCAGCATTTTCCCAATGCCCTTTTTGATCGACTATTATTGTGTGGATGATACTGTAAGAGTATAGCTTAGGTCTGATTGCAGATCGTCGGGCTAATGAATGAAAGGGAAGGCCTCTGCTCAGAATCATAGTGTTAGAAGTTCATGAAAGGGAAGGACACGTCGATGGAGAGATGCGAACGAATGATACTATTCATACACCCTATTGAAGATATCTCTCTCGTCAATCTGAGACGTAGGAACTGCAAAGAAGGCCACCGACCTTAAAAGAACGGAAAGACCAACACTAAGTTCAGTTCGTCGATAGCCTAAAAGAAGGATGAGTGTAATGTTTCCTTAAGCTTTTGTGAAAATGAGGTAAAATCTGAGCGTCAGCGCCTCCTTCGGGAACACTCGTGTGCTGATTGATACGTTACGTTGCGGGGAAGATTTGAAGCCTGAGGGAACGACCGGGGCACGGGCTGGAGACACGACTCCCGTGCGTCATCGATACCTTTCCATCCAATGAAGTCGTGATGGCCGGATATTCGGATGCGCCTAGGCCACAACGTCCCGTAAGTCGTCAGAGAACTGGTTCCAGCAATAATGCTGAAGTTCGAGAGAAAGAGTCTTTTCTTGGCTTTGTACACATTCAGTATTCTCGCGTCCCGCGTGCCTTAACGATGATATTTGATTTAAAGGTTCCTGTGCAGCTGTTCGTGTTTCAATTAGCAGTGTCAATGATGGAAGAATCATAGGAGAGACAGAAACGAGCTGTTCAATTATTCCCGGGGCCGGCGTCTAGTTTCAATGAAGGTCATTAGACCATCTTCCAAGTTGAGAAACTGTCAAGCTCTACTCCGAGGTACCGATACAGGTATCAAAGCCGCTTGACATCGCACGGCGTTCGGAAAACTCGGTATTGGTTTCTTCCGTTGTCATCGTCGTCCAATATTTCCGCGGGAGCCGAGTTCTGCGACGAACGTTCGGTAGGACGTTCAAGTTCCCGTTTCGCGATAATAGATATGTACGCAGCAACGCAGAAGTGGAAGACAAGCGAGCGTCGGGTCTCCAGCCACGCCCGTCGCCCGCGTTTACGGCAGTTATAATTGGTTCTCCGTAGAGCGCTTCTGGTCTCGATTTTGTTCAATTTGATTTGGAGGCGCGTCCACATCTACTACGTTTACGAAATTAGACCGAGATGAAGTATCACAGGATCGCGCAAGATTTACGTACTGCTGACATGTCGCGACTGGAATCCAGAACGGGTAAAGTTGCGACGGGGATGCGGGCGAACACCGTTCCGGAGGTACCGTATAAAAGCTGAACTCGTTGATAGAGAATCTTCAGTTCAACGACAATGTCTGCTCCAGAAACCGCTACCAAGTTCTCTTCTCCTTCTTTCGCTGCCGGTGGACAGCAGGTTGCTCCCCGCTCTAACAGGCAGACCGTTGCACCTCCCGCATCTGTGAAGCTGCGCCTTGACCTAAACCTCGAGGTCGAGATCGCCATCCAGGCCAAGGTCAATGGTGATATCACCCTGTCTCTCCTGTAAGTATTTCTTGATTGGCTGTTCATGAACAGAACTAACTGTTGGTGCGCGTGTATAGCGAGTAGACATGTCGTTGCCATCGGGCGCAATTGGCGTGAACGATCCGAATTCAGGTTAGTCGCTGTTGCCTTGGCGGGTTGGGGATGAGCTGAACGTTTGCTGTATCTAGGATTTGCTTGACGTGAAAATGGGCGTGATAGTGGGATAGGAGATGAATTGAATGTACCGTTGTGACGCCTTCGGCTGCTTTTCTATAATTCATTTCGTGGTTAGCTGTATTTGCTTGAGTGATTTAAGTGATTATGCATCCCAGAGGATGGATGAAAGGTCGGCTGTCGTTTTTGCATCATAACCGTAACGAAATGGCCTCTGGATGTTTCATTGCGACAGGTCTAACTTCAGATTGGGGTGTGGTTGAACTTTACAATCGGCAGAGGGCGGCAGAGTGGTGTCGGAGTTTCAATATGACTGCTTTGGTTTCAGGCTACCCTAGTTGGGCCTTGTGCCTGACGTCCTCAATTGCCAACTTTTCTAAGCATTGTAGCTAGGCTTTCTACCATGGCCTGCGGATCCTACCTGCAACTGTCGCTGACGGTGACGAGAAGATGGCGCTATACTAATCTACCATCTTAAGGACAGGATGGTGTGGCTATACGGACACCACTTTATGTCTGATTTTTATCGGTATTCGAACACCCATCTTCGAGCTCATATGCGAGTCTCTGTTCCGCTGGTTGCCGAGTAGAGGTTTACGAGGAGATGGGAGACAATGGACAATGCCTTCGTTGAACGTGCCTGACCTACCAGGTCTCTTGTCGACTGTCAACGATTCTCTCATCCTGCGCGACGAATCTGCTACGATGGGAACACTGGCAGCCAATGCGGGCTTCTTAAAATTCGTCAAAGCTGCGCACGCTCGACTCTACATTTTGCCACCACGCCCGATTCAAGCATGAAGGTGCTTGGAGAAAGATTGTCTGCGAGCCCGGTTTTTAGCACAAATACGTCCCTCTTCGAGTCATATCACCGGAACCTGTTTCAATTGCAACTCTTTGCTTTTCCTTTGCCCCGCGTGTCGTGGCTCTGAGCTATGACCGCCTTCTGGGT